CCCCCATCCGGGGGCCCAAAAGCCCAAAGCGCCAAGCCGCTCGTTATCGGCACCGGCTCCGCGTCCCGCCGAGAGCACGGTCGCTGCGGAACGCTCGGCACCGCCACAGGGGCTGGAGCCGCGACAGTCTGCCCAGCCGCATCGAGCGGCACCGCAAACGGCTATGGGGGGCCAGGACAAGCCGGCACCGTGCTCGGCACCGGATGCCGCATTGCCAGATGGCACCGGGGAGCGGAACGAACGGGGCCGGCAGAGCGCCCCCACCGTGCCGAGTCGGCACCGGCGGATCACGCTACTCTCGCAGCTGCAGCGGGCAAGGAGCTGGCTGCGGTGCCGTGCAGGATAGCAGCCTGATAATGCTGTGAATATGACGGAAGCTCATTTTCCTCCCCCCGCCATTTGTTCCTTATCGTAGAAGGGAGGGAGGCTCCTCCTGCCTCTACAGTCCCGACAAAGGCTGCTAGGAAGTCAATACCGAGACATTCAATTTCACCATCACCTGAACCTTCAATTTCTCCCTCTCATTCAGCGAGGGTCAGACATTTCTCGGCGTCTCATAGCCAAACAATGCCTTCCCCGCGATGGAGATCAAGGTCTCGTCATTCTGCTCATCGCGAACGGTATCACTGTTACCATCGGGGATCATCATACAGATCTCGCTCACCAAGCTACTCCCCGCCTAGATCTTATCATAGGGGGTATGCCAGCAGATATTCCTCGCGAAGGTCGTCCCCTGACCACTTTGATTATAGGAGCCATCGATCATCCTCTGAATACGGAAGACCTCACTCTCGTTCTCATCAGTGCTGCTGCCACACTCCTCATGAACTAGGCTTAATCCTCGTAAAATGAGGTTTACCTAGTTCGAACTAAGCGCTCCGCTAGTTCGATTCAAATTCGAAGTAGCGGAGCGCTAGTGTAGCGGCTATGAATGTTAGTTCGAACTAACGTCCGTTAGTTCAAACTAACATTGTAGTGTAGACATACCCTCTACTAGAATACCAACTGTGTATAATAAGTTTTTCTCTCTCTTTTTTTTTTTTCAGAATGGCTTTTCTCTAAGGAGATAAACGGCGCTCCACCAGCAACCACAGGCGGTTGAGAGGAACTGACGAGGGGGGGGGGCCGGACTGTTGCAAAGGCGCGAACGCCGCGTGCTGCGCTCGCGCATGCGCGGTTCGGCCCGGCTACGGCTATGGAAATTTCCGACCAGCGGCGCCGGGACGGGACCCGACACCTTGAGTGGAGCACCCACGGGGACACATCTCGAAGAACCATCGTTACTACACAGGGTGAGTAACTTCTTCTTTGCAGCTTAGTGCATGAGCTTCTGCTGTAGGGGTGGGGAACCTTTTGTGGGTCTGTGTCTACTGACCCACAGAAAAGTTGGTTGGGGGTTGCATATAAGTGACAAGCGGGGGGACTGGAGCACCAATGCAGGCTCCCCAATGATGAGGGGAACCCTGAGCCTCGGGGGCTGGAATCTGGCAAGCCAGGGCCTGTATCTGGTCCCTGGGCCTTAGGTTCCCCACCCCTGCTCTGCTGCATGAACTAAAAAGCCAGCTGGCTTCACCTCAGGCTGTAGAGTAGACTCATTATTCTCTCTGTAAGTGGTCTTAGTGCCATTAGATGGGATGGGACAGTACACTACACTCATCAGGTGTGTGGGTTACATAAGCACTGCTTGGCCAGAGCCTGCCCAACTCACTCCTTCCCATGCTCCAACCCAGCATACTATGGGTCCTGGTAGCTGGCCCTACTCCCAGGCTGCCTCCACTGTGGCTCTGCATTGAAATTTGGAGCTGGCAGGCTCAGTCTTGGCATGTACTAAGGGTTGTGCATGAGTGTCCAGGACTACCCTGCAGCATCCCTATGATTGTGGCCCCCCCATCTGGTTTTCAGCACTATCAGTAGGACCTTTGGATGATGAACATCTCTGAAAATCAGGCCCTATAGCAGGGATGGGGAACCTAAGGCCCGGAGGCCAGATCCAGCCCCCACAAGGCTTAGGGCTCCCCACCCCAGGATTGGGAGTCCATGCTGGTTCTCCAGCCCCTCCCGCCATCTCCCCGCAGGACTGGAACACAATATACTAGCCTGAGCACCCCCCAACTCTGGTGCATGAGGGAAATGTGAGGAGTGCCTTTCTGCTTCTCAGTTGGGGGCCTCGTCAGTGGGAGGGAGCCTTGGTTTGCTTCTCACTTGTGTGCAGCCCCCAACTGATTTTTCTGTGGGACAGCGTTCCCCAACCCAAAAAAGGTTCCTCACCTCTGCCCTACAGTTCTGTTAGTGAAAATGGTGTTTCATGAGTGACTTCTGTATTCTGGAGGAAAATTTAATGTATTTGATAGTTCCTGCAGTTTTACCTAGCTAAAGCTGATAATCATTTCACTGAAAAATTCCCTAAAGAACTTTTGTAAAGGCCATATGTCTGATTTTGTTCTGCAGTGTTTGACAGTTCTTCAAAGACTGGATGTATGGTTATCTGGAGGGAGTGATCTGTGTGTTTGGAACAGAAAATTAGATCTCTTGTGTAAGACCAGTCATCTTACTGATGCAGGTAAAAATGGAAATGGCTCATTATAGCAGATAAAGTATAAGTAAAATGGATTTGTATAATGATGCAAAATGAAACCTGGCAAATTTTCGTTAATTCTAAAGATAACATTGTATATTAAAGCTGCCCTCTGTCTAGTTTTAAAAATGTCAACTTAATCATTTCAGAATTAAGGATACTTAAGCTCATGTGCTGTATGAATTTTAGAATGTCAGCTATCTATAATTGTACAGTCACTTGCTGGACTAGATCCTTAGCTAGTGATTTATATATTTCCCTTCCAGAGGACCAGATCCACAGACTAGCTTTTATTCCTCTGTGAAGGAATAGACTTTTTGTAAGTGCATAGGTTTTTATATAAAGGAATGAATCTTGTAATTAAACAAAGGGAACTTTTAGAATAGGAATAGTAAATACAATCAGATAAGAACTTAAACTCATACTGCTTTGATCCATTAGTAAATCAGTATATTGTTAAAATGGGCCCACTGTGGGCAGAGGCTTCTTCATGGCAGCAACCTCTGTCCATGGTGGAGTTTGAGCTCCCTGCGGACAGGGACTGCTGCTGCAACAGCCTCTGTCCACAGCCAGCTGGGGCCAACGTGGACAGAGGCTGCTTTGCAGCAGCCTCACCTGCCACCTCAGTAGTCTCTCTCCATGGGGAGCTCGGACCCCCTGTAGACAGGGGCTGCTGCCTCTGAATCCGAAACCGCAGGGCAGCAGGCAGCCGGTCTGTGAGGGGAGCTGGCTTTTAAACTGGCTCCCCTTGCAGACCAGCTCCTGCCTGCACCCCACGCTGCTGCCTCTGATACAGGGACAGCAGCGTGAGGTGGTAGGGGGCTCCCTGAGAATGGGGCCAGAGCACACTGGCTGCCAGCCCTGCCTGCAGGGACTATAGAATAGTTGACTAACTGCTAAGATTTCATGCAGTTAGTTGACTATTCTATTACCCACTAACATTCCTAGCGTCGAAGATGAGGAGAAGCAGTGGAAGATAAGTGGTCATAGCTGGCATCTGTGGCAGAGAATCTTGAAAGTGCGCACAATGATTTTGAACTTGTGGTGGTGGGACGGAGGATGCTAGTGAACGGGGCCGCTGACAGCCTCTGCTGGCCCCTGGGCAAAGTGGGAGAGGCTGGCTCTGTTCCTGGAAGGGGTGGGACCAGAGGCAGCCAGCCCCCCCATGCCACCCAGAGTACATCATGCTTCTTTTCCCGTCCCTCAGAGCTGCCTGGAATGCAGCACTCTAGGCGGTGATTTAAAGGGCCTGAGCTCCGGCCACCACTTCTACTGTAGTAGCAACGACAATGGCTGGCAGCCCTGGGGTCCTTTAAATCACCAGGCTTCTAGGCACCAGCCTTCTTTACACCCACTGTCGGCAGGCCTGCCAATGAAGGGATTCAGAGCAGGAGAGGTATGGCCAGGAAGATGATCATAGCAGGTGTGGGGGAAGCCAGATAGGAGGAGGTGGTACTAATTGACAGGAGAGGAGGAGTTGCATGTGGGTTTAGAAATGGAATATCTGATTTTAGAAATATGGTAGAGGAAGAAATGGCAATATTAGGACACGGCTTTGGATAAGCGAGTCAAGGGAAAGCAAGGCTAAGACTGACTCCCAGGTTATGGGCCTGAGTTGGAGGATGAGGATATTGATGACAAAAAAGTGCAGGGAGTGGGGAAGGTTTGGGAGGAAGGATTAAATGTAATTTTAGCCATGTTAAATTTAAATTGAGACATCCAGGAGCCCATGTCTGAGAGACAGGCCAAAATATGATGGAGGGAGAAAGAAAATTTATGAATCCTCATTATAAATGGTAGGTGAAACCATAGGTGTGAGAACACCCAAAGAAATGGTATAGAGGAAGAGAAGGGTCACAACCTGGTACTTTGAAAGTATGGTCTGTTCCAGCAATATCTATAAATACAGTATAGAACTCATTTTTTTCAATGTACTACTCCTGGGGGAATTCTGCACCAAAAAAATTATGCACACATTTTAAAATTCTGCAAATTGTATGTCAGAACACTATATAATCACACCAGTTTGTTATTTGTGGTAATTTAGTATGCCTATAACAATAGACACACAAATATTTCCCCCTGGAACAGAGAGTTAGAGAACTCCCTATGACAACCCAGTTACTATTTCTCTGCCTCTCCCCACCCCACACTCAGAACCCAGCAGGAGGGGAGGGGCTATACACCCACAATCACTCCTCCCACAACCCGCTTGCAGGTGCCTCCCAGCCAATACATTCATTATTTTTATAATGTACATAGAAAAATACTTTTTCCTCTTCCCCACACACACAGAGCCCAGCCATGCCCTGACCCAGCCCAGACATCTGCTTCCCACCCCAACCCAGGGATCCAGAAGAAGAAACAGCAAGATGCTCAGTTCTTGGCTTGTCTGGAGTTTCATGCTTGCCACTGTCTACTTCCCTCAGGCTGTGCTGGGAACTGAGTTGCCAGGTGGGAACCCTTTAGCTCAGTGGTCCACAACCTTTTTAATCACAAGATCTCTTTTTCAATTTAAGTGCAATGTAAGATCTACTTTAAACCCAAATACCCTTGCCCCACTTCCTTCCTTCTTGCCCCCTCCACCTCTTCTCTGAGGCCTCATCCTGCTCACTCCATCCCCCTTCCTCCACAATCCTCACTTACTTTTACCAGGTTGGGGTAGGGGTTTTGGGGTGCAGGGTCTGGTCTTGAGCCAAAGGGTCTGGAATGTGGAAGGGGTTCCAGGCTTAGCCCAGGGCAGGAGATTGGGGTTCAAGAGGGGTTTCAGGGTGCAAGCTCTGGGAAGGAGTTTGGGTGCTGGGGGCAGGACATTGGGTGAAGGACAAGGTTCAGGAAGTAGGCTCTGGCTGGGCACTGTTTAACTGAGATGGCTTCCGAGTGGTGGAGCAGTGGGGTTAAGGCAGGCGGTTTACTCCTGCCCTGCCCCTGTACCACTCCTGAAAGCAGCTGGCATTTACAGCAATGGCCCCATGTGCTGCCCCTCATCTACAGGGACTGAGCCCACAGCTTCTGCTGGCCATGATTCCCTGTTACTGATCAATGGGAGCTGCAGGAGTGATGTCTGCAGGCAAGGACAGCATGTGGAGACCCCTTGCTCTGTCTTTCTCAGGGGCTGCAGGGACATTGCAGCCACTTCTAGAAGCAGCAATTGCCACAAGGATAATTACTCCGACCTTGACAGGTTAGATATTTTAGAATTCACTACTCAAAGAATTAAATTTAAGCGTAAGAGAGAAATGAAAATTATGAACTGCACAGATCAGTCAAAAACCAAAACTAACACACTTTGCAAGCAGTAAAATTAGTAACAGCCACCTACCATGTACGTGTTGGGTCCGGAGATGAGAGTGAAGGACACTGCGTGTTTGTGAGCATGACAGAGAAACAGTGTGTGAGTGACAGAAATTTGCATTACTAAGCTCCCTCCATCCCCTTCTCTCTGTGTGGAGATAGGCTTCAGAAGAGGGAAGGAGGGACACCCTAACATTAGTGCCCCCCTCTTTTTTCTCCCACACCCTGCTTACCAAGCAGGAGGCTCACGGGGGGCAGCTCCAAGACAGAGGGTAGGAGCAGCATGACAGTGGGTGCAAGCGCTTGATAGCGTCCTGGCCAAGCCAGTCAGGATCACCAGTCGGAGGCTCCAAGATCTACCAGTAGATCCCGATCTACTGGTTGGTGACCACTGCTCTAGCTCTTTCTCCCTTCCTCTGGTAGTGTCTTCTATTTGCTACCTGGGCTATGCAGAGTCCAGTAATCCCTAGCAGGGGCCAGCAGCATTGCATCCCACTTCTTTGAAGAAAATGAAATTCTGTGCTAAAATATTAGCCAACATTAATACAAAAGTCTGCTTTGTGCAGTGGTGCTATTTAGTGGATACCACTCAAACCACTGGGTTTGCTATTGTGAGGTGACGAATGCCCTGAACTCCCATGTTCTAGATTTGTACAACACTTTGCACAAGACTACAAGCACTAAGTCATTTTACAGTTGTAATGGTGACAAAGTCCCCCTTGTAACAAGAGATTTGTCATACTATCTGATTTTTTCCCCCCAAAGGGTACTGCTTTTTCCTTTAATTTCAGTGGATGTAGCATCTCTGAAAATCAAACCAACAATGTTTTAAATAATTTGGCGTAGCATGGCAGAAAAGACATATTTTAAAAATTAGACAAACAGGAAGTACAACATTAGATTAGACAGTTAGCAGGTGAAAATTAGTATAGCTCCATCAAAGCCAATGGGGCCTTGCTAATTTATATCAGGTGAGGGTTTAGTTCCTTGTTTACTAAACATGAACATTTGTAAGAAGCCACTATTAAAATGTTTTGAAATGTATGAATTGATAAGTCATCGACAAATATATTTAAGTGTATTTATGTTGCCAGTACATGTGGTATCAACTTGCCTTTCATTTGCGTGTTGAAAATGTGCAACTGTCTTTTCTTGAATTATAAAAATTATGAATTTTAATGTAAGTGCTTGCTCATGTCTATTCCACATTGTGTGTGTGTGTGTGCTTGCCACTACACTACGTTTTCCCTTAACAGTATCAGTGGGGAATCTGGCTATGGCACCATCTGGAGTGGTGCCTGCATGGCTTGGTATAAGGGCCACCGCCAGCTTCCCCCGCCTTCAGTTCCTTTTTGCTGCCAGTGATGGTGGAAGGCACTGCTGCATGGGTCAGTTTTGTTACCTACTTGTTTTTTACAAACTTATTCCTTTGTTAGTTTACATAATTTCTTAGCAGAGTAGTTTAGCATTAGTTGTAGTGTGTGAGTTGTCCTGGATGGGACTCAGCTTGGACATGGGGCAAGTGCAGTTCCCAGGCATCAAATCTTGTGAGTTGTGCAAAGATCCTTAGCCCATTGGTCATCAGCAAAAGAGTTGCCTCAGGTGTTGCGGTGACATTAGCAACAAGTGCAGCATTTGCAAGTCTTAAGCCTCAGACCAAGAAAGAGATATTTACCTCAGGACTCTTCTATTGGAGTCGGTGATAACCCCGGCACCAGAGCAGAGTGCCCCAGTGGTGCCATCTTCAAGCCGATACAATTCTCCTTGCTGTTTCTTAACTGTATTATATTTGTATGGAGAATAACCTTTTTTCCTTTATTGTTGTTTTGTAGATATCAGTGCTTTGGTTGAATTGCCAAAAAACTGTGTTGCAGCAGCTGTTGGCAAAGAGTTGAGTGAGTATTACATTTCAATATCTTCATCTCTGAATGCTTTTTATTACTTTACTTGCAAGGTGACTGGATGCTTCATTACTTTCTAAAGTTGAATCAAACATTTTTAAAAACACAAGATTCATCATTTTAAATATAAATTAACAACAACAGTCAAAGTGGCTGATCAGACTGAGGGAACATGCAGGTAAATATATATTTGAAAAAAAAAAAAAAAAACCCAAGGAAGAAGGTAGCTGATAGAATGTCATTTGGGTCCAATTTTCATACCTGGTTTTGATAAAATGCTTCGGTCAATGTGTCATTGAAGATCAGAAAAAAACCCACCTAAATCTTTTGAATATATAGAGAGGTGGGAGTACTAGCTGGTCACACTGCTTTACAAAAATTAACCCTCCCCCCTCAAAAAATACCCCAAACACACTTGTTTTCTGAAAAGTTCTCGGCAACTCTGAACAGCGCACTTGCCGTGGGGTGAGAGTCTTTGGCTTGCTATTTGTTTCAAAATTAATCAGGAGCCATTTTACCATTTCTAATAAAGGTATTATTTGGAATGAATGCTAAAATATCCTGTCAACAGTAAGTGATCAGATGGGGATAGAGGAGGAAGTTGATTTGAATAAACCCGAGAATACTGCTATATTCACAAAGCAAGCTGGAAACATTATTAAAGTGGAAGAGAGTTATTAAACCAAAAAATAATTTTACTTTCACCTTAGTTATTTGCCTTCAGACATTTTAAAATTTCATCATGAAACTATCTTATCTAACTGGTGCTCCATCCATTGTTGTGCCAATCCATTTTGGTTCCTATATGGGTTAGTAAATGGCATGCTTTTCCCCAGTGAATGAAAGTTTATGATCATGAATCATGGTCTTTTGATTTTGATTATTTATATCAAGTTTCCAGATGTTCTTAGGGGGAAACATGATGTATGCTCACTGTCTGCAGTAGTTCTATACATTCCAGTACCATAGCACCTCCAGTGCAGAATTCTAATACAGGAGATACATTTATTCTCAAACTTGGATCTGATCATTTGATCCTCCGTGTTGTTTTTATAAATAATGATAATTTGACCTCCCCCCCCATCCAGATGATTTACCTTTGTTAAGCATCTCTAGAGTCTGCTAATCTTAAAGCTACGCATTCAAGGTGTCAACCAGGGAATATTATCCAGAGGACATAATTGGACAGTCTCAGAGCTCACAGGTATTCACTCTTATGGGATTTCTCAAAGTAGAGACACACATAATCCTGTTAGTTATCCATGAGTCTTTTTTTTTTTTTTTAAAGTCAAGACACCTAGTATCTTCGAAACGTGTTCAGAGGCGAGACTCTAAAGAACTACTCCAATTATCAGGAGACCAGGCACATTATTAAAATCAAAACCATCGTATCATGACTCTTGTAAAAATATATGTAGTTGGAGAATAGCCACTTCTAGCATTTTTTGGGAAAAAAATAAAGTGAGAATTTAAAAATAATCTCACTTTTATAAATGGAGCATAGTATAAAATTTGCATCTGAACTACTCAAAGGTCACTGAGGCTGGACTATTAAATTGGAAAAATCGCAAATTGCGTCTCTTCTCAATTTACTTTCGAAAGAGGCTCTTTCGAAATTTGGCATGTATACACGGTGCCAAATTGCAAAAGAAAGTGCTCTTTCAAGCCATCCCTTATTCCTCGTAGAGCAAGGTTTACAGGGATGGCGAAAGAGTGTGTCCATTCTTTCGAAAAATTTTTCAAAAAAGCGGATGCATTCCTTGCATGCGACATTGCTATTTCGGGATACCTCTGGTATCCCGGAAAAACAATGCAGTCTCGATGTAGCCTGTGTGTCCTCTTGGTAAGGGATAAAAGGAATTAGGAGGCTAATTAAAACGTCTTCATTCCTTTCATATGTCATAATACTTCCAGTTATATTCAGTCCCATTTCTTGTATTTGTAAGTTAGTTGGTGTCCCCTTTGCATTTTCTATCAATTCCAAAATTGCGTGTTTCCATAATTCCATGCCATTATTGGACCTCTGACTACATTGTCTGTGGCCAGCTAGGGAATTGTGCCCTCATCCCACAGCTGCAGTTGGAGCTAGGGCCAGAAGTGTCATTCCTCCTCTGTGTCTGGAGCCATCATTTCCCTCCCCTGATATTTTTGAGAAAAAAAGTCAGACAAGTCAAGGGCTCCCATGAATGTTTGTTATGACTAGTGACCTGTATAACTTTTACTAAAAATAATTTACAAAAATCTTAACCTTAGTCAAATAAAAGATTGGAAACTAAGTAGTGATCTGGGTTTTCAGTAGTTTAAATTGCAATTGGGTAGTTCGCTTTTAAGCATCTGCACTCTTGTTATAGACATTTGTAGAAGACAAGCTATTTAAGATTTTGTAATAAAGCTGCTTTTGAGTTAGAAAACACTCAAAGAGATTATTCTATACTCTAAAGTACATATTGCATTGGATCATCTCTAAAACAAACTTTAGGCATACTTAATTCACAGTTGAATTCTTCATTTAAACAGAGAGCTGCATTTTACTCTATCCAAATGATAATGTTTATTTAGAACATTTGTCCATTTATCTTTTAAAGTAATTTTTAGGTTGGTGGTTTCCACAGAGGGATCTGAAGGTTGGGATGTCCTTGAATTAAAACGTCTGGTTGACCATCAAGATAATATCCTCTCATTGGTCAGTGTCAATGGTAAGATGATGCATTATTGGTTAGTATTGCTAATTAGTGGAATATTTTCAGCTGTGAAGTTTAGTTTGTGGCCACACACACAACTGGAACAAAACATTCTAACTGCTGGAGGAACTAAAATAGAGTTGCAAAGATAGTCAAAGGATTTCACAAATGCTGACACTTCACAGGGATGTTGTGAGGATAAGTGCTATTATCCCTATTATATGAATGGGGAAACTAAGCCAGATAGGTTGTAACTTGTCCAAGGCACAAAGGAGCCAGTGTCAGCAACAGGAATAGAATTCCAAAGCCACGAGTTGGGTTTTTTGCTATCTTGGAAGTTTAAACACATAATTCTATCAGTCCCTTCCACGGCCTCTTAGAATTACTAAACTTTGGTAGGTAGTTACAGATGAGGCATTGCAAAGTTAGAAAGAAATGTTACACTGTTTTTTAAAAAAGATTGCAACACATTATGGTCATTTAAATCTTACAAAAATCATTTTGTGATTTTTAGTTTTGCTATAAATTGGCTTAATGTTCAACAATAAGCCAGATCCATCTGAACAGCTCTGTAGTCTGAGCCAGGTATATCCCTGCACTAGCACAGGGTCCAAGATGAGTTAACATGTGCCTTCCCTGTGTGGAGGCTGCAGGAGCAGATATGGCCCCTGCTCATGGAAGTGACAACTTTTAAGGCTACCCTAACTCTGTTTTGAGGGCTCTACAGGATTCTTCAGAACACACTGACTATACCTCCTATTTCTGATTTTGAAAAACCCATTAACTTAGTTTGGAAAAAAAAAGTTTAAACATAATTTATCATCTTCCTCACTCCAGGAGGGAAAGCCTAATTTTGTAGGAGCCCAGCAATGTTTCCCTTCCTGATCACAGTCTAGCTCTTTGCCCTCACTGCTCAGGAGCCAACCAGTGACCTTCCACACAAGTTAAAATGAGTGTTCCTGGTGGACCTTCCATCCCAGATTTTATGCCCCTCTGTCCCTGTACCCAACAGTGTCTGGTATTTTTGGTCTTTGTCTCAATGTATCTGATTATACAGTTGTGCTTAACAATGCCTATCCTACAGTGACATTCATCAGACTTTGCAGGGTATCGTAATGGCCTCTACACACCAAGAAATAAGTTGTATATATTCTGCCTGAGAGAGGATCATCTACAATATTCTTACCAGCAAGTTAAGGAAGTATGGATTGCATAAATGGACTGTAAGGTGGATAGAAAGCTGGCTAGATTGTATGACCCAATGGGCAGTGATTAATGGCTCGATGTCTGGTTGGTGGTCGGTTTCAAATGGAGTGCCCCAGGGATCGGTTCTAGGGATGGTTTTGTTCAACATCTTTATTAATGACTTGGATAATGGGATGGATTGCACCCTCAGCAAGTTTGCAGATGATACTAAGCTAGAGGGAGAAGAAGATACTTTGGAGGGTAGGGGTAGGGTCCAGAGTGACCTAGACAAATTGGAGGATTGGACCAAAAGAAATCTGATGAGGTTCAACAAGGACAAGTGCAGAGTTCTGCACTTGGGACAGAATAATCCCAAAAATTGTTACAGATTGGGGACTGGCTGGCTAAAAAGCAGTTCAGCAGCAAAGCACCTGGGGATTACAGTGGATGAGAAGCTGGATTATAAGTCAACAGTGTGCCCTTGTAGCCAAGAAGGCTAATGGAATATTAGGTAGAGCATTTCCAGCAGATCTGGATAAGTTATTTCCCTTTATTTGGCACTGGTGAGGCCACATCTGCAGTATTGCATCTAGTTGTGGGCCCCCCCACTATAGAAAGGATATGGGCACATTGGAGAGGGTCCAGCAGAGGGCAACCGAAATGATTAGGGGGCTGGAGCACATGACCTACAAGGAGAGGCTGAGGGATTTGAGCTTATTTAGTCTGCAGAAGAGAAGAATGAGGAGGGATTTGATAGCAGCCTTCAACTTCCTGAAGGGAGGTTCCAAAGAGGATGGAGAGAGGCTGTTCTCAGTAGTGACAGATGGCAGAACAAGGAGCAATGCCCTTAAGTTACAGTGGGGGAGGTCTAGGTTGGATATTAGGAAAAACTATTTCACGACGAGTGTGGTGAAGTACTAGAATAGGTTACATATGCTACATCTACACTACGAGCCTCTTCAGCAAGAGGAAAAGCAACTGGAGCGCTCATTTGCATATACTGCACTCATTTGCATTTCCTCCTCGGATCCCTTTTGCGCAAGAGGTTTTTGTGCAAAAAAGTGCAGTGTAGACGGCTCCTTTGTGCAAAAAACCCCTTTTGCGCAAGAGCCGTTCCTCCTCAAAAAAGAACAGCCTCTTGCGCAAAAGAGGGTTTTTGCACAAAAAGAAGCAGTTTACACAGTGCTTTTTTGCACAAAAACCTCTTGAGCAAAAGGGATCCGAGGAGGAAATGCACGTGAGAGCATAGCATATGCAAATGAGCACTCCATTTGCATTTCCTCTTGCAGAAGAGTCTCATAGCATAGACATAGCCTTAGGGAGGTGGTGGAATCTCCATCCCTAGAGATTTTTAAGTCCTGGCTTGACAGAGCCCTGCCTGAGATGATTTAGTTGGGGTTGGTCCTGCTTTGTGCAGGGGGCTGGACTTGATGACCTCTTGAGGTCTCTTTCAGTGCTAGGATTCTATTCTATGATTCAGTGAATCACCAATAAAATATAAGCGTCTGTTCATGCACGGTTCGGACAAGAAACCCTGAGTATTTGCATGTGTTTGTCTTGGTAGCACCTTTGTCATGGTATACATCACAGAAGTTTAACTGTTTTCCCTTCTGATTTTGTTTTCAAAACATTTACATTTTATATCAGTAAAAGAAAATCAGATGAACAACATCTTTGAAAGGAAAGAGGATTTTCCCTAATCAAATACATACCAAAACCTCCGATTTTAACTTAGAAACAGGTTCTATCTAGCAACTTTTTTGTTGCTGTTGCTTTCATTGAGCCGCTTACTAATTTGGAATGGATTATTTATATGTGGCTTTGTGCTTTGCCTAGATTTGACACTTGTGACCGGTTCTCATGTGGGTGAGCTGATAGTTTGGGATGCATTGGATTGGACAAATCAAGTATGTGAATGCACATCATGGGACCCCGCTCTCCACATAGTTACACAACAAGAAATTAAATTATCACAAAACCAACGTGAAGTTTCAATTCAGCATTTAACATCTGACGAGGAGGTAAAACCTTTAAGAAGTAAACAAAAAACATAAACAACCTCCCCCCCACCTCCAAAGGTTACTTTTTAATAGAAAGCAAAGTGTTTAAATTAGCATTTTCAGTTTACAGTTTACTTTAGCAAGCAATAAAGTGATTGTCAGATTTATTCATGTCTTAAGAATTGGGTATTAATACAGTTAATATTAATTGGATTGGACTAACCCAAGATTACAGAATAGCAGTGGGTAACTTAAGTAGTTCAGTACAGTCATTAGATTCTCAGCTTGGAAACTATCAGACAGCAACAACAATTATGTTTTGTTTTAAATTGACAAAGGCTGGCTTAAACTAGGTAAGTGCCTGTTTTAGTGAAATTAAGATATTCTAATTTTTGGAGCATAAGTACAAGATTTGCCTCCCAGACAGTTCTAGCTGTAGATAATTTAATACTGAATTAAATAAAGTGCACATTTAAAGTTTGTGCTTTACTATGAACATATCTTACACTGCAGTAAAAAAGTATTCCTGGCTTTGGCCAGGTCTCTTGGAACAATGTAGTTGATTGAGAAGTTTGCAAAGATAGAAGCTCTGTAGTTCTGGGCCTAGTAATATATCAGTGATAACAAAAGGGTGCTCTTCTTTCTAAGAAATTCAGCTGAGGACGTTGTTGTTAAGACATGATGAAAATTGCCACGATCAACACTGATAGCTCCCCCCACTATCCTTAGGAAAAGAGAACAATCTCCTCCCCTTCTTACAAGTTGACAAGGCTCACCTCTGAGCAACCACAGTACTTTTGAATTTAAAAATAAAATAGGGAAGGAAGAGCTGAGGTTACCCAATATAAATCCAGGTGTGGCACAGTTCTTGTGGAAATGAAAGCAGGAGGAAGTGGATGAGAGAGAGGATCAGACCTAGTCCTCATTGAAATCAATTACACAGTTCACATGGACTCGAGAGAGAGAGCAGGATTTGGCCTGAAGGAAATAGTAAGAGGGGGTTTAAAATAATTTAAACAATTATTTCACTGTTATAGCCTAATCTTATTAGTTTTTAGAAGTAATTCTCTTTATTTCTGCCTTATTTGGATTGAATGAGGAAGCATCTCTCTATGGGCAACTGTTTCCAGAAATGAGAGAAGAGAGGAAAGTAAAACTGATACAAAATGGCCATTTTAGCCCTGGGATTGCTTGGTTCTGCCAAATTTATAAGACCATCCCAGAAAAGTATTCTGGGAGAAAGTTCCTAGACAGACCTGCGTAGGCCCAGTGCATTTATTGAGAATAATGGTGAAGTGATTATGTGGAATACTACCCTCTGGTTAATAACGGCTGCCATCCAAGTGGAATACGGTAGTTATGCAAACCAGACTTACATAATGGAGGGGGAACTGTACAGTTATGTTAGTACAGCACCTTTACATTCTGTTGAGAACTACTGTAAACAATAGTGCTTTTAGCCTTTACAATTTGCTGGAAGCTCTGGAGGGCAGGGGTCATCTTTCGTTATAGGAGCGTATAGTGCCCAGCTCACTGGGGCTCAACTTCTTTATCGAAACCTCTTGATGGTACCACAATATAAAGAATCTCCCTGGTTCAGCACCCTCAGGACCTGACCAGTCCCAAAGCAGGAAGTTTGCTGGACCAAGGGAGTTCAGTGCCAGCCCTTTTGCTCCCAGCTGCTAGCTGCCTCTACTCCTGGGCACGGAGGGTTCATTCTTCCCTAGTCTGGCAACACTCTTGGGGCCAACCCACTGGATTTCCTTCCATCCCCCAGAGTGCTCCAGCCTTGGAACACCTATGGGGTTACAGATGATGCCAGACCTGAGAAGTCTAGATTATAGAACTTGCATCTGTGTAGTGCCTAAAAAAAATGGAAATACACTGGCCCAGACCCCATAGTTTAGATAAAATGGTATCAAGATCTCACAACATATCATTTTTCTGCAAACTCAGATACTTTGAGGAAACAAAAGTTTGTCAAATCACTTGTGACAAAGCTGGCAATTAACTTAAATTCTAATCAATAATCTTTTGCGCATAACAACTCCAGAGCAATTGCTAGTGTTTGATTTATACAAAGTGATCTGATGTACAATTTCTTCTGTTTTAGTTTCTTCTTTCTACATGTATTTTTACATTAGAATTGGGCTAGATAGATGTGATGTGTTGCTCTACTCACCATTGGTTGGAGCTGCTTCCTTGTAGTTCTGCAGATTAGGCCCATCAGGCAGACACTCCTTCCATCAATTACACTGTTTTCTCCTCCATAGCCATATCTTGCTCCAGGAACCACAGTGTCCTCTTCATGACTCAGCCCTCTCAACAGGCCACTATTGTGATTCCTCTTCTGAGGGAGTATGGCAAGATTATTGCTCTCTAGCAGTCTTAGACAGTCTTCAGCGTCACTGCCTCAGTGCCAGTCCCACAATGGCAGGCAGGGGAACCTGGACCTACCCTCTATTCTGGATTTCAGCTTAGAGACTCTCTACACAGCAGCCAAGATCTAGTCCTTGCACCTTGCTGCCTTTCCCTGAGCCATGTCCATACCTTGTAGCCTTCCACATTCTAGATTTCCCAATCTCTTCACTCCCTCCTACCATAGGCTACAGAATTCTTGCAGTCCCAGCTACTTTCCATTTCCTGTTTTGTATAGAAACTCCACTTGTTCCTCACAAGTAAGCTTCTCTCTAAGAAGCTGCCTCCCAACTAAAGCTCTCTTCCTCACTGCCACCCTTGCAGCCTAATTAGATGATTGTGCCCACCTAGCCCAGTCAGCTTTTGCAGGGAGAGTATGGGGAGCACATTTCATCACAAACTCTGTCTCAGGACTTCAACCCATTCTGCTCTAAATCACCTACTCATACCTGCTACAGCTGTGCTCTCAGGTCACTCCTTTCTTCTCTTAGGCTATAGCTCATGATGAGAGATGCATCTCATTCCTCCATAGCGTTTCTTCCACTAGAACCACAGGTCCTGTGCGGCCTCCACCCAGACCTGCTCTGCAGTTAATAGCTTCTCTCTCATATGTTCCACCTGCTCAGAGTCCTCCTCTATCCTTGTTCCCAGGCTCTGAGGCTCCACTGTTTTGTGGTTCATAGAATCGTAGAACACTAGAACTGGAAGGAACCTTGAAAGGTCATCAAGTCCAGTCCCCTGCCCTCACAGAAGGACCTAGTACCGTCTAGACTATCCCCGATCGATGTCTATCCAAACTGCTCTTAAATATCTCCAGAGATGGAGATTCCACAACCTCCCTAGGCAATTTATTCCAGTGTTTAACTACCCTGACATTTAGGAAGTTTTTCCTAATGTCCAACCTAAACCTCCCTTGCTGCAGTTTAAGCCCATTGCTTCTTGTCCTATCCTCAGAGGTCAAGGAGAACGAGGAGGAGGGAGACAAATTGTTCTCCTTGGCTTCTGAGGATAGGACAAGAAGCAATGGGCTTCATCTCACTGTTAAGCATCCAGGGAGGACACTAATTAATGCAGAGGCTCTTTCTTGTTCTCACATTTCTTTATTTTCCCCCTGGCTTCTCTACTATTCTTACAAGCTCCTTACAGGCCTCTATCTTTTTCCTTGGTCCTTTACCCTTCTCTGAACTCCCTATTTGGATCAATATCTCTTTATATAGCCCTTTTCCTCTAACACAATTGCTTATTGGGTGATGCTCACTGGGCCCTCTCCTCGCTCCTTGTGTCCTGGTAAA